GATGAAGATGGAGATGGAGATGGGAAACAAGGACATGGCCAAGACAGACATAAGTTAAGGGGAAATTTCGCCAATTAAAGTTTGTTTTAATTAAACAACTCACTTACTTACTTACTTACTTAGTTATACTTACTTACTCGCTCACTTTCCTGTGCCTGTGCCTGTACCTGTATTGTTGCAGGTAAAATAGCATCGAGACGCCTTGGTTTAGTGGCTGTGAATTGGGACAGGGACAGAGACAGGACCTGGCATCCTGTCCTGCAATTGTACTGCATATCCTGTTGCATATACACTATATATATATATATACACATGTAGTGTGTGTTAGGGACGTGGGTGTGCCAGCCTAATTAAAATTCTGCATAGCATTTAATGCCGTTGATGAGAAAACGTGCTCAAGACAGCGGAAATTTCCATTTAATTAAAATTTTGCAACAAAAAGGCACGACGGGTGAGTGCAGGTGAGCCTCCTGCCCCGCCCAGCAAGTGCATGAAAATAAATAAAAAAAAAACAACAAGAAAAAACTAGTAAACTAAACAAAAAAAATAATGTAAAAAGGTAGGCAAAGGCACAGGTCCTCTGGGCTCATGTGACCCACTCAAAAGGAGCGCAGACACCAAAAGTGGAGTTTCCATGGAGTTCGATGGGGAAATGGGAAACTCAGTTTGATCCTTTTGAATGAAAAGGATATAGCTTAGTAATGGGTAATGTTTTAATATATTTTTTAAATATTTATAAAGGGAGACTTTTAGAAAGAAGTTGGAGAAATTATATATTAAATTAATTGAAAGCCAATTAAATGAAAGCAAATCCATTTGAAATATCTATTTTTAAAGTAATATTTATTTACTTTAAGTATTTTTGAAGGGAATTTAAAAGACTATAGTATAATATTTCAAAATTAATAAAAAGTCGTTTATTTTAATTATTACTTTATGGTTTAAATAAATGCAAAGATAATAAGTTATAGTATTTTTATACCCTTTCAGATTGTTGTAATTTTCAGAAGCTTAGAAAACAGTGAAGAAGTCATTTCCGACCCTATAAATCATATATATTCTTGATCAGCATCAACAGCCGAATCGATCTAGCCATCTCAGACAGAAATATAAAAATTTTAAATTTTTTTCAAATTTTTCATCGTTAAAATTCTAAAAAAAAATTCGGATTTTTTTTTTTTTACATTTTAAATGGAGTATGTAGATTTATAAACCTAATAAAAACTAGCACAGGAAAGCTTTCCGAATTAAAATTAATGCATTTTTGGCTGAGTTGTGATCAATTGAAGCTGCAAGGGTATTTAAACTTCGGCATTATTGAACTTGCTTTCTAGTTTATTTATAGGTTTTTGAGTGAAGAAATTTGGAAAGAACATATGTCAAACATTATTGAATGTAACCAAGACTAAATCTAATAAATAAAGTAATTAATATAAAGTTTAAATAGGTACAAATAAATAATGAAATCAATAATGATACATTTTTGAGCATTTATTTATTTTGATATTCCTTAGCAAAGCGTTAAAGAGAAAACTTCTAAACATTTAATAATATTTTAAATCTTGTTTTTACATATTTTTCTCTAAAGTTTATTATGTAAATTAATATTAAGCTTAAATAAACATAAATGAATTGAAAAACCCTTCAAATTACAAAAATATATATATAAAAACTAATATTTTTTATAAATTTCGGATCGAAGAATGGAATACAGTAATTTATATTTATTTCTTGCATATTTTTATGCAAATTAAATTTTTTAAATTATAAAAAAGTTTATATTAAAAAAAGTAATAAAATCAAATAAAAAAGCAAGTTCACATCAAAGGCAGAAAACTGCATCATTTTCTGCCTTGCCGCAGTAGGTAAATACATGAGGAAATGCCTGGAAAAATCCTGGAAAATGTGTGTCTGAAAAATTTGGTGGAAAATGTTAGGCTTTGGGCAAATACAATACCGTGTGCAAATATCCGAGATGCTGCAATCAAATGAAAAACAAGTTTTTGGCCATTGTTTGAAAGTTTCTTGTCATTTTATTAATATTTTACTGGTTGTTCTTGTTGTGTGTTGTGTGTGTTTAGTGTGTATATACTCGGGGGTTCTTGGGTTTCTTTTTTTGGGGTTTTTAATTTATTACATTTATTGTAGTTTTGTATTCTTCTTCACTTTTTGCATTTGCATTTGCTGTTTGCTGTTTGCTGCTTTGTTTTGTTTAATTTTTACCTCTGTTTTTTTGTTCGCCTTTTATGCCCTACAATTGAACTAGAATTGAAGAGAAGAGAGTTTTCCATTTCAGTTTTTATATTTGTTGTTTTTTGTTTTATAATTTTGTAGAGCATAAAGGAAGCTTTTGTTTCATTTAATTCTTTACCTTTCCTTACCTTTTCTTCTCTTCTCTTCTTTTAATTTTAGTTTTGTTCTCTTGTTTTTCTTTGTTGCTTTCTATTTCTTGCTGGAAAATTCTTTGTTTTCAAGTTTTTTTGTTGTGTTGTCTTAAGTTCGATTTTCTTTTGGTTTTCTTTGATTTTGATTTGCTTTTTTGCAGTTGGAGAGTTTTCTTTTTCTTTCTTTTTTTTTCAGTTTTTGCATCTTGGACTTGCCGTTGTTGTTAAGTTTTGTTTTTTGCTTGCATACTATAAGTTGCTATTGTTGTGTTTTTGCATATAACAATATTAAAATATTTTTGCAGAGCCACAGAGCAGAGATTTTGATTTGATTTATATTTTCCTCAACTCCAGCTTCAGCTTAATATGCTAGAAATTCTTTAGCCATTCTAACATTATAATTATTATTATTATTTTGTTTTAGTTTTTATTCATATTTTGCAGCTGCTTCTCCTTGGCTAAAGTAAATTGTTTCCCCCTTTTTGCCGACTAAAGCTTATTTAAAAAAAAAATAGAAGAACTTAGAAATTAATAAAGGAAAATCTTTATAATATAATATATATGCATATGAAACTCTTTGAGTTCTGCTAACAATTACTGCTTACTGCGGGGGAAGTAACTTACTTTAATTTTAATTTTAAATCTCAATTAGTTAGCTTTCTTGTGTGTGTGTATGAATATGTCGTACTCAGTTTTTATGCTAGTTTATGTTTCTAGAAAAAAAAATTCACCACAAAATTCGGCGCACTTTTCCACTTTTCTTATTCTCATTTTCACTAAGTCTAGCTCACAAAAAAAAAACATACCTCATCATGTTTGGTGTGTGTTTTGCCATTACAGATTACATATACTCATGTTTATTTTTATATATATTTATATATATTTATATCTTATAGATAGCCATCGAGCTTAGTTTGATTTAGAGTTTAGCTGCAACATTATCTTCGCTTTGATTCCACATTATTTACATTGCAAAATGGAGCGACTCCTCGGTTCTTTCTGCCTTCAGAAATTGTCATAACTAAACGAACGTTGAACGCATCATCGTGATTATCACTAACCTAGATCTCATTCTATATCCTATCATTTCTTTTCCCTTTTTTTTTAAGGGGAGGGATTTTTTATTGGTTTTTTTCGGTAGTTAAATGCATTTTTGGGCACATTGAAAACGTAAAAATGCTTTTGGATTTCTTTGTTTTTTTAGCTCTGATTGGTAAAAGTTTTTGACTCCATTTGAAATATGAAATATGAGCTTGCAGGGGGAGAGGGGAGGGAAATTTGATTTAATTTTTTGCTGATGGCCGAGTTGAATTCACTTAATTCACTTAAAATTCCCATAAATCACGCCATTCATTTAATTATTTAAAAGCGTTAAAAATGGACACACATTTGACCAGAATTTCACTTAAAATTCGATTTATTTCGGCTTTTATTGTTTGAAAAGAGAAATTTTGTGGAAATTAAAGCCTTAAAAATTTAAAATTTTATGGGAGAAAGTATTTTGAAATAATATTAAATTTAAGAAATTAAATGTTAATGTATTTAAAATTACGAAAATTGTATAAAAGGTCTATGTAAGCATTTGAAATTTTATGAAAAATATACTTTTAATTATTAGAAAATTATAGAATTGGATTTAAAAGTTAAATAGTTTCCAAGGTAAAATAATTTTAGTCAGAAGCTTGAAACTAAGTGAAGGAATTATTTGCGACCCTATAAATCATATATATTCTTGATCAGCATGAACAGGCAAACCGATCTAGACATCTCAGACGAAAAAATAAATTTAAAAATTTTTTCAAAATTTTATTAGGATTAAAATTACAAAAAATATGAAATGTATTTTTTTACATTTTAAATAGAGTATGCAGATTTCTTAACCTAATAAAAACTAACATAGAACAGCTTTCCGATTTAAAATTAATGCATTTTTGGCTGAGTTATGAGATTTTTAAACTTTGATTTGTTGAAGAAATTGGCATTTAAACATATGATAAATAATAGTTCAAATAAAGCAAAACTTTTTATTTAAATTAATTTCAATTTTAATTTGGTCGTATAATTTATTTGCAAACGGCAAAAATATATGTATATATAAAAGATAAAATATCATTAATTTAAAATATGAATAATTAAAAGTATAAATAATAAATAAATTATATATTGTAATAGAATACAGTTAGACCTTTATTATGGACATGATTTATAAAGCCAGCTTAGCTCTCATTCAATTTCTTTAAAGTTTTCTTTCTTGATAAATAAATGCAGGCTTTTTAAATATACATGATTCATTTATAGAAAAAAGTTTAAAGTAATGAATGTGTAATGAAATGTGTTAAAATCCATAAGAACTTTCTTTTTGGAACTTAAAAAGTATAAGTTAATCTTAGTATGAAGATTTCTCATTTTATAAATCGAATTTCAAGTGTTAAATGTTAAGTGATTGATATATGAAAGGAGCCAGGACATGCTCTGGGAATCCCCCTGTTTAATTCTTGCTCTTCTGCATTCTGTTCTTCTGTGTTTCTTCTCTCTTTGCTTCTTTTTTGCATTCTCTCCTTAGTTGCTTATGTATTTATTTTCTTTTTATTTGTATTTATTTCACTTATTTTGCTTAAATTTTCTTTTTTGTTTGTATTATTATTACCATTTTACTTGTTTTTCGGGCGACTAACACACGCTCAGGTGATTGGTGTTGAGGACAACGCCCGCTGCCATGTAACCGTTATTCTGCCGATGGGCGGCAGCGTGTGCATGGGCGTGGCCAGCATGGCTATGGCTATGATTGTGGCTACCACCATGATGGGCATTTGCTGGCTCCACAGAGCCAGAGTCCACCACAAGACCCACCAGGGGACTGCCCGCCTTGCCCAGAGGCACCACAACAGTGGCACCACCATTACCACCGGCTCCACCAAGCATGGGCACACCGCCAATGGGCGTGGTGGCTGTGGTGGTATTGGTGGTGCCCGTGCCAGTGCTTAGGCTGGTCCCACTAATGTGCGCACTAATGCCGCTGGGCACACTGGACATGTGCGGCGAACTGGCCGCATTGGCGGACGACGATGATGAAGATGCTGCTGCTGCCGCCGCCGCTGCTGCTGCTGCTGCAGCTGCTGCTGCATTGGCAGCATTGGCCGCCGTTCTGGTCAACTCCTCATTGGGTATAGAAAAGTGTCTATAGGATATATATTCCGGTGGCAAAGCAGCCTGTCGCTTGGCATTCTCAATTCGTTGCTTCTTTAGCTTTACATAGCTAAGGACAGAGATCATCACTATAAAGACAATGATGCCCAAACAACAGCCCACAATGAGGCCCAGTCGTCGGGTTAAAATGGAATGAATGAATCCATTGCTGGACAAACCATTCTCATCGGTGACCAGGCTGGGCGTAGAGTCCAGCGTCTGGACATCTGTGCAGGCCGAGATGTGTGAGTTCTTGAGCACCTCCATAAGGGCACCATTGTCCGTGGCTATGGTGTTGGTCATGTCCAAGTCAAGATCCTGATTTAGATTGAGATTAAGATGATGTTGCTGCTGCTGCTGATTCTGATGCTGCTGGAGCTGCTGATGATGTTGGTACGGTGAATAGGAATCGGGTAGTGGCACTCCGGCGGACATCATCATCAGAGACTCATCCTCGCGCAACGATTCGTTGGCATGGAGACGCTGAAGAGCATTGGCCAGCGGCTCTGAGAGCCAATTACCGCTCCCGATGACGCAGATGTGATACCGGGTATTGGGACTGAGACGGGTGAGCTTCGTCGAACTGGCGGAGCCATTGAGTCGCTTCCCATGGATCTGTGGAATAAATTAAGCACGGTTATTGTCATCGCCCCGGTTATCATCATCATCATCATCATCATCATCATCATCATCCGCCATTGTCATTTCCATTTTCATCATGGTACCATCATGTACCCCAATGTTCATGGAACCATGTTCCATGTCGATGTTGCTTTATTAAAAACTTTCCCTGCGGCCCCTCGACTTTTCGCGTCCTTTTTCGCGGTTTATCGCAAAGGGGGGTTGGGTTGGGTTGGGGGTTTTCCCTATCCTATAGGGGTTTTCCCTATGCTATCCCCTGCTTGTAATGAGCGGACAGTATCGATGAGTTAATGGGTAATTGGCGGAACCACCTGGTCGAAAGCGAAGAGCGGATATGCGGACAAAAATGGCTACACAGGATGTGGCCTAAGCTCACAGGGATAAGCAGGAGTTATGACAGGATTCCCTTCATGGGGACAGGACTTTAAAGCCTTAAACTAGAGGCAAAGGTCTGAATAAAACAGTATTTAATAGTAATATTTATATAATATTTTAAATAGTTTTTTTATAATATTAGCTTTAATATATATTCCAGAGAAAGTAAGTTCCTGAAGGGTTATTTCATCGAAATTGGTATTATAAAATATCTTTCAAAGTAAATTATTTTTCTGGCATTCCAAAAATGTATTTAATTATTTTAAAACATTTTGAAGGTCCAAAAAAAGTGATTAACTTTTAAAATATATTTAATAATTTCAATTACTAATTTAAAAACTTTTAAGGAAGCCAGTAAAGTGATATACTTTTTATAATATTTTATAATATCAACTTCTATGAAATATACTTATTGAAAGAAAAATTGTTGGAAGGTTAATATGTCTTTAAATAAGCTAAAATCCTTTTTTTTTGCAATAATAAATCATAAACTTTAAATATTATATATATTAATTGGCATTTCAGAACTGTTTTCAAGTAGTTAAACATTTTTAGAGAAGTTCTCAGCTATAATTTACGTTTTTTTAAGAATTTAAATAAATATAATAACACATTTTAAGGTTGGCTTAACTTTCTTCAAATATTTTAAACATATTAAATTATTTAGATTTCTGTTAAATAATATTTAAATACTTCTATTCCGGCCACTACTATGCCTCGTGCCAAAATGAAGTTTTCTGGGCGGCTAAACTCTGTCCCCGTTCGAATATGGAGCCATTCTAAGCCTCTTACTAAGTCCTTTGCTCTGCATCCTGTTCCCCCGAATCCTGTAAACCATCACCTTGTGCCTGTGGCAGCAGATGGGCTCTTGATTAAGCGTTTATTAAAGGGAAATTCACGTGGCTATCAGCCGGCAGGCAACGGCTGTCAAATTACTTTTGAATTTGTGTGCACTTGAAGGAAAAATTCTAAAGGTTGTCAAATCGAAAGGAAATAAATAGGAAAAGGCTGCTGGAAATCACTAAGTCCCTTAAAAAAGGTGTTTAAAATTTTGCTTAAATTTTTTACACTATAAAAACAAACTATTACTTAATGAATTTGGTGCCTATATAAATTAATCAATCTTTAAGATACCTTTTTTAAGGGTATTTAAAAAGTTTAGTGACTCCTAAAGCAACCTAGAAAAGTTTAGAACTTTCCCTAGGACTTAAAGTAACCCCTAAATCGATTATATTTCTATATAATAATATAAAAAGTAACCCCTAAATCTATTATTTATTTATATATACCCAAATATTATAATATTTAAAAATATTTTCACCCCAAAACTCACCTCATCTGTGGCTATGGGAAAACGTTCTCTGTCCTTCTCCCGTTCCCGTTCCCTTTCTCGCTCCCGTTCCCGTTCCCGTTCCTGCTCCTGTTCGCTGCGATTCCGCTCCCTATCCGGATCGTTTCTATCCCGATCCGTACCGGAGGCTGGGGCCAGACCATCACCGATGGCATGGTAAACAATTTCGAAACCGGTGAGGCCCAAATGGTCGCGACTCTGCCAGGAGACGACCACCGAATAGGGCTGAATGTCCTGGATGGCCATTTTGGGTATTAGCGGGGCATCGCAGAATTGCTGCGGCTCCATTCGGCCAAACACCTTGCCCCGCAGCTCCGTTGGGTGTTCACACCTCAGGTAATTAATGGCATCGCCGCCGGTGAGACCACCGCCCAGGGTTATGCCACCGCTGCCCTGCCCCGTCGCGGGCAAGGACCATTTGCGATGATCCCGGAGCCATTCCCAGAGCTTTTGGGCATCGCAGCTGCAATGCAGTGGATTTTCTGAAACGAGGAGCATAGAGACACACACATATGTGAGGCAATAAGCAATAAGCAACAAATTGGCCATAACACGGGAGGGAAAGAAGAAATCATTGCATACTTTTTGAAGGGGTCTTTTTTTTAAAGGATTAAAAGGAATAGAAAAATAACTTAAATCGCTTAAAACATAAGCCTAAAAGTGAAATAGCTTTTATTTTAAGTATATCTGTACATCTCTTTAGTACATCTGTACATCTTTTTAGTACATCTTTACATTTTTTACTAATTTGAGCTAGAGGATACATTGCAAAATAGGGATAGAAAAATCATGGCATAATTTAAGGAACGATTATTAAAGGATTTTAATTTGTAAGGAAGAAAAACTTTAAAATCGCATAAAAAGAAGCCTAACAGTAGAATAGGTTTTATTTTAAGTATATATTAAGAAGATTTTCTAGGAGTTTGAGGTAAAATAAATAATGACTAAAGGAAATGAAAATAGCTTACATTGGAAAATTGAACTTTGGACCAAGGAAATCAATCATAACTTTGCCAAAAATGCATTAAATTTAATTCGGAAAGCTGTTCTATGTTAGTTTTTGTTAGATTAATAAATCTGCATACATTATTAAATTTAAAAAATTCGTTGTCATTTATTTTTACAATTTACCCCTTAAAAAAAATTGAAAAAATTCGAAAAATTTATTTTTCTGTCTAAGATAGCTAGATTGATTCGGCTTTTCATGCTGATCAAGAATATATATTATTTATAGGGTCGGAAATGACTCCTTCACGTAGTTTTAAGCTTCTGACTAAAATTAGAATCCCATTTTTGAACTAATACTTATGATTATTCTTAAATGACACTTTATTCGACTAATCAAAGTTTAAAAAACTCATAACTAACCTAAAAATGCATTAAATTTGATTCGGAAAGCTGTTCTATGTTAGTTTTTGTTAGATTAATAAATCTGCATACTTTATTAAAAATTAAAAAATTTTACATTTTTTTGTCCATTTTTTCCTACAGTTTTTACCTCCTAAAAAAATTGAAAAAATTAATTTTTTTTCCTGAGTTAGCTAGATCGGTTTGTCTTTTCATGCTGATCAGGAAAATATATGGTTTATAGGGTCGGAAATGACTCCTTCATACTCCTTGAGTGTAAAAATAATCAGGGATGCCAAGAAAAAATACAGAAAATTAAGCAATAAAATTATTCCACAAAATAAAATATGTATTTTGAAACATAAAATAATTAAATGCCTACTTTTCTTCAATAATTAATTCTTGAAATTAAGAAAAATGGTATAGAAATTGCATCATCGCATATATTCAATAAATTCTTTTATGTCTCAGTGTATTTTTTGTAGTGTAGTTTTCCGCTTACCTTCCAACTTCAGTGTCTTCAAATTTGTTTCCAGCGGTCTCAGCGGATCCAATGGCACCAACTCAAAGTAATTCTTGCGAAGATCGAGCACATGAAGCTTCCGGAGGAACCGGAAGGCGTCATTTGAGAGCACTGTCATCCGGTTGCCCATGAGGAGCAGCTCCACCAATCCATGTAGATTCCGAAATGTCTTCTTCGAAATCCGATCCAATTGATTGAAGCTCAGATCCAGGGTTTGCATCTCTGACAAATCAGAGCTAAACTCTTCCAGATCCTTGAGTGTGTTGTGCGAAATATTCAGGATTCTGAGTAGCTTCAGTCCTTGGAGCCGTTCCTTGGGCAACATTTCCAGCTCATTGACACTCAGATCGAGTGTGAGGAGATTTGTGAGTGACTTGAAGGCTCCTGGGGAGATCCTGGTGATTCTGTTGTTGACCAAATGCAAATGTTGCAAAGCCTGAAAGGCCTCAAAGTCCTTGGAAGTGAGTATGGAGAGATTCGTTTGGCATATGTAAAGCTCTTTGAGATAGGGATATCGTTCCTCTTTGACGGTATAAATACGATTAATGGGATTTCCGGTTAGATTTAGCCACGATAAACGTGGTATGGAGACATCGGAGAGTGCAGAGGAAGGTATTTGCAGGAAACGATTGCTGGACAAGTCCACCTTTTGCAAATTGATCGAATGTCGCAGGAAATTTGCCGGTAGGGATAATAGAAGATTTCCACTCAAGTCCACACTATCCAATTGGGTGAGATTCACGGCATTGAAACCACTAAGAGCTGTGATTTTATTCTCCTTGAGTATCAGCTGACGGAGATTTAGGGTTCCACTTAGCTTAAAGAAATCTATGGAAGCCAATTGATTTCTAGCCAAGTCAAGGCTCTCCAATGTGCTCAGATTATACAAGGCAATGTGAGGAAACTCTGTGAGTTGATTTCTACACAACTTTAGCTCCTTGAAGACATTTAAACCACTGAAAATATTCCGATTCATTTGAGTCAATCGATTATCGCATAGATCCAATCGCACTAGATTCGTGTTCTTGGCAAATAGCAAATCTGGTATTTGTCCTAGACTACAATTGGCCATTGAAAGTTGCTGCAAAGATCGCAAACGATCAAACATTCCAGCCATTATGCCACCAGTTGTGCCACCCAAACCCACATGACTAAAGTTATTATGGGAGAGTTGCAAACGTCGTAAATTTGGTATATCCAGTTTCTGGATATCCGCAGGATTCAGTTGATTTCGCTCCAAATTCAATTCATTTAGATTAGTTAAAGCCTTAAAAGTGTGCTGTTCCAGTTTACGCAATGAACAATTGGCTAAACTCAAAACATTCAAAGGTAATTCATCCAGAAAGACATCCCTGGTGAGTTGAACCAAAGGATTATGTGAGAGGTCCAATGATTTGAGATTCTTTAGCTTGGCAAAGGCATAACCTTCAATGGCTTCGATTTGATTTCGGGCCAGGCTTAGCTCCTCCAAACCCTGCAATGGAGCAAAATAATCCCTGCGTAGTTGTCTCAACTGATTTCCACTGAGATCCAGGAATTGCAAATGCAGTAAACTGGCAAAGGTGTCCTTTTCAATCTCTCTTATACGATTATCACTCAGGTAGAGTCTGCCCAACTGTGGTGTATCCGCAAAAAAGGATCTCTCCACACGCACCAATTGATTGTCTCTCAGCCACATGATCTCCACTTTGCCCTGACGTCTAAATGTCCTTGGATGTACTTTATGCAAATAGTTTGCTTCGAGTTGGACAGACAGCAGTGAAGAGTTATCCTCGGGAAAGATATCCTCCAGGACAGTCAATTGATTATCCTGCAGATTGATGTGTTGCATATTCTCCAGAGTGTGAAAAGCCTGCGGTTCTATATCCTCGATGCTATTCTTTTGTATATGCAACTCTTGGAGTGCCGGAAGAGGTTCAAAGACACCCTTTCTCACCCGTCTTATGCGATTATTATGCAGTCTCACTTCTCGCAAATGTTCCAGCTTCCTAAACATGCCAATCTCCAGATCCTGTATCTCATTATTATCCAGTGAAAGGGAAGTTAATTTGGTGCTCTTATCAAAAAGTGTTACTGGCAGCAGTGGTATAAAATTGGATCTTAAATAAAGATGATCCAGATTAACCAGAGTGCTAAAAACATTTGGATCTATGTGAGCAATGGCATTTGATTCCAAATAAATCACATCCACATTTGTAGAGTTGGTAAACGCATCCGCTGGCAGCTCCAGAATATTATTTTCACTCAGGAAAACCTCACGTAACTGTGGCAAGTCAGAGAAAACTCCACCAATGGCATGTATATGATTGTGACTCAAATCCACTGTCTGAAGTCGCTTATTCCGCTCAAAAACCTTGGGATCCAATGTCACTATTCGATTGTGTGACATATCCAGTGACATCAGTTCCCTTAGACTCTTGAATGCCTCCGGCTGCACCAATTCAATTTGATTTGCATAAAACGATAACGTTTTCAGTTGCGGAAAAGCCCGGAAGCAATCATCACCGATTTCCGCAAACTGATTGGAACTCAGATCAAGGAAAATCAATGATGGCAATTGGAATGAACCCACAGCAGCCGCCGCAGCTGAGGCATTATTTGTGGCCAACTGAATGTCACCATAGAATGTGGGTATTTTATTGTTGGATAATCGTAGGATCCTCAAGTGATCCAATTTGCGTAATGCCATCAGTGGAAAGGTACGTAATCCATTCTCCGAGACATCGATCTCCTGCAGACATTCCTCTAAGCCGGCAAATGCATGCTCCGGCATTCCTTGGAGTCTGTTTCCTTTGAGATTCAACTTGGAGAGTCTCAGTCCATAGAAACTATAGTCCTCCACGCGAACAATTTCATTGTAATCAAAGTCTAAGGCGGTCAGCTTTTGCATGGCACTCAAAGCACGGGAGGGCATCTGGAAAATAAAAGGGAAATTTAATCAATTTAATTTATAAAGCAACCTATGTGGTTGAAAATAATATAAGTTATAGCTTAGCACTTAAATACTCTAAAAAATATATCTTCTTAGAGCTTTGTGGGCTTAATAAATATTTCTTTCCGGTTTAATATATAAATATAATGCGATTATAATTAAAAAAAAACAAGCACTTCTCTTGATGGAAATTAGGTGCAATGTAGAGTTAACACCCTAAGAACTTTCTAGTTTTATTTTTTCAATTTCAATTCAAATTTTTAGAGCTTTAATTAGTTAATTACTCTTGTAATTAATTTCTTTGCTCTTGCTTATATACATTGAAGTATAAAGAAACATTTAAAATAAATTACAAAGGCACTTTCAGTGGTAAAAAAACAGGTACTAAAGTTGAATCATCACTTTAATAACTTTTTAATTAAATTTATCAAAATTTTAACTTATTGAAAACTCTATTTTAAAAAATATATAGAAATACATAGACACAAAAATTATATAAAAATTACTAAATACTAATTAAGTCTAAATTGTATTTAGCAATTTTTGAGCCCTAATTTTATTTGTAAATATATTTAATTCAACAATTGAAAAATTTCCTAAAACAAAACAAATAAATTACCAAGTCACCTTCCTTCCCAGAAATTAATTCTTAACTAAACCAAGCATCACTTAACCCCCTCGTAATATAATTTATAAATATTTAAATTCAATGAAAATGCAATTAATTAAATGTTTCCTAGGGTTAATTACTCTCCACCCCCAACAACCACCTGTTGTTGTTGAGGTTTGCAGCAGTTACTTAATTGGTTACTCGAAATCCCCGAAATCGTGGCAATAACTGGTTTGTTCGCTCGCGCACATTACGTATACGCCGCATGTGGCACGTGTGTTTACTTAACGCCTTTTGTGGCGAATGCGTAATGTTAACATTCCACCCCTCCACCCACTAAATCCGTAATTAAAAGTGCCCATTGTGTGCGGCAGAACTACCTTCGGGCATTTAACAACAAAAGAAAGCAACGAAATACACAAAAAATAAAAATAAAACTGAGAATGGGAATGAGAATGAGTAGAAAAAAAAGGTGGCATGGCGTGGCATGCCATCTCCCCGTGTCGTGTCACACCTGAAGCACATCCTCTCTTTCAGAGGGGGCGGTGGGTGGATACACACCTTGTTTGTTCACCTGTTCTGACCGTTACGCTGGCTCGTTCCACCTGTTCGTTGCCACTGGCGCAAAACAATTAAATTGCCTTTGATGCCAATAAATTGAAAGCATCGCGGGTTTTACATGATGCCACGAAAAGTGAGCTTGACGTTTTTCGCGGTAGCTCGGGGCTTTCCCTTACGGAATTTTCCGCATTTTTTTCCACCCCCTCCCTTCCAAAATGTCCACACGGTGGCGCATCCAAAACAAATTGGATTTAGACGCGCCGCATTTTCCCCGCAGAACGAAACTACAAACATAGTGGGGTTCGTTTTTTATAGACATTTTCCTAGCAAAAAACATAGGTCCAAAAAATTGACAAATTAAAGTTAACAAAATCCAAATTATTCCAGGACTGTCTTTAATTATAGTTTAAGCATAGGTTTTCTTGTTATTAGTTATTGTTTTTATTATAATTAATGTGGATTTTAAAGTTTGCATATTGTTGTTGAAATGAAAAGACAGAGTGGAGTCAAATTCAGGTTCCAGAAGAAAATGTTGGTGTAAACATTGTTGTAATTGTTGGTGTTATTATAAATCTGAGAAATCAAGTAAGCCTTGGTATGTTTTTTTGTGGTTGTTCATTATATTTGCAGCTATTATTGGTGCAAGCATTGGTGTTGAAATGTGTTCTGAAATCCGGTAAAAAACATTCCAAACATAATTGTTTTCCAATAATTTTTTGATGTATTTTGAGTGGCTCTATTGATTTTTCGGAATTTATTTGCTGATTTTTGGAATATATTTTTCAAGTTTTACATTGATTTTTCTGCTACGGGTTTCTTGGCTTCTTCTTCTTCTGGTTAGGTTTTCCAGCTTCCATAGGATTTCCAGCATCTTCCTTAGTTTCTTATCTCCAGAGTTCCTCTATTGATATTCTTCTTCACGGTTTATGTAAATGGTGCCTCCTCCCTTTTGCGGTTACGTGAGCCGGGACGTTGATAGGTTCCATAGCGTGGTGAGGATCCATTACGGGAACGTGAGCGCTTGCGTGGCGGCGAACGGGATTCAGAACGTGAACCGGAAATGGAACGGGAACGATAGCGGAAGCGTGACTTTAGGCGCATAGGAGAACGGGAACGAGATCGGGAACCAGTTGGAGAAAGAGAACGGGATCGGGAACGGGAACGGGAACGGGAACGGGTACGGGTACGGGTACGGGTACGGGAACGGGAACGTGAGAAGGAACGGGAAGTTGAGCGATTCCAGTTATAACGACGACCTCGAAAGGGTGAAAAGCGACGATAATTGCGCCACGGTGCCTTCAGCATGTCCTCCTTAAAAGCATTGACCACAATCCTTTTGCCATCGATCTGACCGCCATTCATGTGCTTAATGGCATTGGCACAGTCCTGTGGATGGATATACTCGACAAAGGCATAGCCACGTCCCTGGCGACCCCCAAAACGATCTGTGGGAAAATCGACTGCGGTTAGGGGCCATAGTGTCCAAAAATCTCGGATATATGATCCTTGGTCACCTGTGGCGACAAATTCTTGATGTGCAGCCGGACGATCCTTACGGGTGGACGGGCGCGCATGGGTGGTCCACCGCCACGTCCACCAAATCTTCCACCTCCACCTCCACCTCGTCCGTTACCTCCTCCTCCTCCTCCTCTTCTTTCGAATCCTGATCGTCCTCCTTGATCATTTCCTCTTTCGCCGCGAAAGTTTCGCTTGCGATAATTGCCGTTGTTATTGTTGTAATTATTATTATTATTCCTGTTGTTGTTATTATTATTATCATTGTTGTTGTTATTATTATTAATATCATTCTTATTGTTATTGTTGTTGTTATTATTGTTGTTATTATTTTGATCTCGTCGGGTTCTTCAACGTAGTGATAATACTTAACTTCTGGCTTGGGATCATAATGTTCATTCAATCGATTGTGCCGTTCTGTTCCAGAACCCGATTCCTCTGACGAAGACGAACCATTTCTGGGTCGTGCACTGGCCGTGACATTCTGTCGATTCTTGTTATTAGTAGTTTGGTAATTGGAGCCACAGGCCAATTTCTTAGGATTCCTTACTGGTGAGTCAAATTTGAAATTATCATCGCTATCGCTCTGTTCCCGTTTGAATTTGAGAGACAGAATATCCGCATTATTATTCACAGCGGATGTACCAGTTAATTTGTTGTCGTGTGGATTGAAGGCGGGTGTGGCCATATTGGGATTATTGATATGAGCATTGGGGTTGGTCTTACTGTGAGAAGTGGTCTGCGAGCGAGTGTTGGTGTGGGCATTGGTGTGTGTATTGTGATTGTTGTTGTTACTCTTGGCGTGGGAACCGGTATGAGCACTGCTATGAGCATTGGTGTTTGCATTGGTGTTGTTGGAGTTACTCTTGGGATGAGTATTGGTGTGGGAACCGGTATGAGCATTGCTGTTTGCATTATGGTTGTTGGAGTTACTCTTGGTGCTTTGGGTATGAGCATTGGTGTTTGCATTGGTGTTTGTATTGTGGTTGTTGGAATTACTCTTGGTGTGTCCACTGTTGGCAGCATGAGAACTAGATTGATTCTCTGCCTTATTATCAATTTTTGCATCCGTCTTGGTCTCAGATTTCCCAGTAGTCTTTGCTGGTGGCTTCATCTCCCCTGTCTTGGTATGCGTTGAGGGCTTGCTGGTGTGAGGCTCAGTGGCCTTCAAGTTTCCCGACTTGCTCTTCGAGGGCTGACTGCTTGTTGGGGCATTGCCCACGGCATTGTCTAAGGTTGTTGGTTTGGCATTGGAACTGACCTTGTTGGAGGAGGTGGCACCTGAAGTGGCATTGGAATCGGCAGCGAAAATGGCATGAGTATTGTCAGTCTTGTAGGTATTGACATTGGGATTGGTTGGTGTCATCTGAATGGGTTGCACGGGTTGCACGGTCTGAGTACTAAAGCGGCTCATACGTGGCTTGCGTGGATATCGATGGGTCTGCTGGGCCGCAATAGTAGGTCCTTGAACAGGTTCCAAGGGCAAGACAGGAGCAGCAGTGGCCACAATGGGAGCTGGCACTGGTTTTGGGATGGGTTGTGGTATTTTGATAAATACCTCGGCACTTTTGGGTAGATTTGAAGCCGCCGTCGCTGTTGAAGCTGCCGGCGCTGCCGCCGCCGAAGAGGTTGCTGGCTCCACACGAGAAGGCAATGGCGTGGAGGTTAGCAATGGAACCATCTTGGAGATGGCCAGGCGGCGTTTCTTGCGGGAACGCTTAATCCTGCCATGCTCCGAATGATGACGATGACCGCCATTGCCACCCTGACGATGATGCGAGCGCTTCGATTGATTGTGTCGATGATGACGACGATAATGCCGCTGACGATGGCGATGACAGGAGCAAGAGTGACGGCTGGAGCGTTCACGACGAATCTCGGAGTAATCCTTTTCGCTGCCGGTGGTGGAGGAGCCAGAACTCGAGGAGCTGGAGCGGCTCGTGGAGCCGCTGGATGAGGTGCTATAGAAGCTAGAACCGCTCGAATTGGTGGTATAATCACCACTGGTAGCGGAGTCATCGGAACTGGAGGAGGACTGCCTGGCCCCGGGACGAGACTTGCGACGAATGTCGCGCCTCCTTGGGGAACGACCACGTCTGCGTTGCGACGATGACCCTCGATCCGGCTCCTCCTTCACCTTATTATTGGGCAATTTTGGCATTGTGCTCACCTTTTCTTGGATTTCAATTATTAAATTGTGGTTTTCTTAATAATTTTCACTTATTGTTCGGTTTTTTGCTTGATTAGATCCGTTCACGTTGAGTTCCACACAGAAATGAATTTTCGTTTTTTACTTTTTCGGGGACATTGACAGTGAAAATTTTATCGAATGACACAGCATACTTTGATTTGAGAAAATGTGTTTAAGCATCTAGGGTTGTCATTTAAATCTCTATTAAATGGATAGTAAATAAATAAATATTTAAAGTGTTAACGATTCATTTAGACACGCCATAAAGTAAACCGAATTTAGTTTTAGTTGCAGCGCTTTTAATTATTTAAGCCAATTAAAAAGCATTAATGGCTCTTTTGTTACATTTTATTTGAAATAAAACACAGCTTTGTGTGCATTTGTGCATATTTTAAATAATACATAGATTTAATTACAGATAAATAGGCGGCAAATATATATTTCTATTTGTGCGAATTCTAGGTTCTAATAAAAATTTAATATTTTATTCTAGGGTGCAATCAAAGGTTGCCATGACTTAATAATTCTTTTCTCTTTTTTGCATTTCTGTGACACTTTTCTGGAAATTTCTTTCAAAAACTCAAACCAAGTGCAGGTCCTTTTTAATTGCATTGATTGAACAGAATTTCCCAGTGTTTGTGTGTGTTGTGGGTGTATATGTGTGGGATTGAAAGGACACCTGACAGGGACAAAAGCGAATTACGGCCTTTTAATTAATGTACTGACATGAAAATTTATGGCAGTCGATTTTAATTTATTGAACCTTCCGCACTGCCATTTGGCGCCTTGCAAACGCGACCGAAACTGCGGCAGATCGAGGACACACTCTGGAGTCCAGGACTTCAGGACACCAGGACTCCACCGAAATTTATGGCCAGTGGCTGGCTAGCGAAAAAATTGTCTGCCATAAAATGATATTTATTTTTATTGTTGCCACATTATGAGATATTTATGGGCATTTTGAATTCCAAAGACACTGAGCACTGAGCACTGAATTTTTTTAGAGAAATGGGTGACGCTTCCTTGGTTCCTCCACTAACTTAGTGTTTGGTCATGAGTTGAACCTTCTTGGGGGCACATCGCATTCGGGAGTTACTGCCCCGCGGGATCCTGCGGCACTGGGAGATGCAGGTCTCTCGGAGCAGCTCCCGGCCAGTGTCCTTGCGGAGGCAGTTCTGCTCCTGCAGGCGACAGGTGGCCAGCCGCTGGCAGGTGTTGGTCGAGGCTTGGCGGACGCACACCTCGCGGGGATTCCCAATGTCCCTGACACCGCAACGCCGGCAGCGACTGGGCAGAAGGATATTGCCATCGGTGGCCTCGATGGTAACTATGGCCAAGGTGGCAATTAGCAGGATAAGAATCAGTTTAGACATGTCTTTAAGATGCTTCCAATTGCTTCTTCTTGGGTGGAATGATATCTGTCTCTGACTTGGAATTAATATTTATAGAGAAACCAAGTAAGAAATTCTTTACGCCATGTGTTGTTGGTGTAACTTTTGTTTATACGTCTTTTGTTTTTTGGGAAATCAATTGAATATGACAATTTTTGTGTGCCTTTAATTGTTTACATTGAAGACTTTTGAATTGTATTAAAAATACCTTTTTGAATGAATGCAAAATTAAATAAATGTAAAATAATTAAACATATTATTATAAACATTATATTATATGTAAATATAAATGGAATTTTAAATGTGTAGTAAGACATAAGCTTGCATTGATATATATTAATAATATACTTAAATATAAATCAAAGGCTTAACAGCTCATTTAAAAGACTATTTGTATATATTATATATATTAAATGAGCTGTAAACTCTGTGATTTATATTTAATAATTTTATATACCTTTTTTTATCTAAATTTATATTATTCGTATTACGTATCATTAAATCCTTTAATCATTTTAAAATGAAATTAGTTCAAAGGTTACATATGTTTTGAATATATTCAATTCTTAAGGAAGTATGTTGTATTTAATTGGATTTATTACGAATATCAAATAATTATATGTTAGTTAATTAAATTTTAATATTTATTTCATTTTATTTACCAAATATTTATATTAGATTTTTATATATTTATATCATATTAAATAATAAATAATATAATTTAATTAACCAGTTAAAGGCTTTGGTAGAAGGCTCTCTTCGCTCTTTCTTTATAATTTTAGAGTTTCTTTTATAGCAAAATCTCTTAGTTTTAATAACAATAATTTTACATTGTTAAAGCTTCTTGATATCAGGTTAATGCCTCTTAAAAACTACACTCTTTTCCTGGTAATTGTTTTCATTTCGATTATTTGTGGTATAAAAAGATTGAACAAGGCTTAACATAGACTTTAGTAAATAATTTTTAGCTGAGTCTAAATAATGTGCCGCCTTCTTAAAAGATTTATTTTGGGTAAAATACTTGATTTTCTTTGGACAATATTTCCTTGAAAAATTTGTCAAAGTATTGTAAAGTCCTAATTAAACTAAAACACTTAAATTTAATTAATTTAATTTAAAAACTCTTTAAAGGCTTTGTGCTTCTGGAGTTCTTAACTGACATTACAGCTAGGACCACCGAGTGGCCAGAGATCACCAGCAGAAGGACATCCACCAGGGAAACCACCACAATTAGTACTATTTCCTCTACGAGAACCACTTCTACTCCTACTCCTACTCCTACTCCTACTCCTACTCCTACTCCTACTCCTACTCCTACTCCTACTCCTACTCCTACTCCTACTCCTACTCCTACTCCTACTCCTACTCCTACTCCTACTCCTACTCCTACTCCTACTCCTACTCCTACTCCTACTCCTCCTATTTCTACTCCTATTTCTACACCTACTCCTCCAATCTCCACCCAAAGTGTCCCCAGATCGGGTGCTTGCTGGACAGTCCTCCGGTCTGCGGAAGATTGGATGAAAGACAGTGCCAGAGATTTAGTAATATCTGCCATATGATGAATCACATTCGTTTGTTCAACATTTCGGTGACTGCCACCCGGGATATGTACTGTCTGGGACTCAAGGGATGGGATCGTGGTCCTTGTTATATAAACTGTCCCCAGAATCCGCGACAAGTATTCCCTTGCCGGCCAACGCCTCAATCGGAGGAGATCTGTGTCCGTTCTAGAGATGGTCGAAGGTGCAAAATGTTGGCCAACACTTGTCAGTTGAGGGAGCAGAATTGCTTCTCAAAGGCCAGACAAAGTGAGTAGTAAGGGAGGATCAAGGGAGAACTATACACTGACAGAACAAGTTAAAACGAAAAACGGAACTAAATTCTTTAAAAAAGATTTCTATCTATCAAAATAATTATTTTAAATTAGGTCTAGCTTAAAAGAGTCTATTAAATTGATTAATTTCTAAAGAAGAATTATTATTTAGATCAAAAAGGATATCTACAACATCTATTGATAGTCTAATCTATCTTAAATATTTTTTAATTATTAAATTCCCTTTATTTTTTAGCTTGGCATCTCACTTTTAAGCGAAACTGTGGCAAAAGAATTGTGGGCGATAAGTCTGGTGTCTGCTTAAGGCTACCTATTGCTCCAATAGGAGGTGTAATTAATTAAACAAATTAATTACTTGAAAATTTAAAAATAAATAAAAATAAAAGAAAAACAAGCAAATAAAATAAAAACGATCTTTAAGTACTTGAAGGAAATATTGGATTTGTTTTAAATTGTTTAAAAATCATGAACCTTCTTTGTTTGTTAACATAAACCCAAAGAGAGATTTAAATAAAGTTATTATTGAATTATTACACAATAATTTATGAAAATAATTAGGAAAATCAATTATCAATTATATAAATAATTATATTAATATAAATTATGAATACTTTATTTCTATCTATTATTATTTATAAGCAAGAATAATAATATTTATTATTATTAATATGTTGACTTTATTTATACGTAAATGGTTAGATATTGTATTTGCAAAGGTAGATATTTATTTATCTTCGATTTCATCATTATTTATTCCGTATGTTTTATTTTTCTATAACATTTTAATTTATTTTTTATTTGTTTTTCGCTTAATTTCAGATTAAATCCAAAGGAAGTTTTATCAAGAATATTGGTAAGTGATTTCGTCTCACGTATAATTATTTTAAACTTGCTCAACTACGTTTTATTTCATTGTTTACATAAACAATAATATTGAGAAATGCTGTGTGTTTCTGAAAAGTCGAAGTTCGAATACCTTTTCAGTGTGAATTTAAATCAACAGACCATAATCAATCATAACTTTATCGAAATTGATTAAAACCAAGCCAAGAATTCATTTTCGATTCAAAAAACTTTTCTGTGGTAATTTTTTATTATGTTAAGAAACCAGTACTGGGACTTTACAATCTTAAAAACGAATATCCTGTTAGGGTATTAAAAATTATAGGTCTTTTTATAGATCCTTGACTCCTTCAACTCCCTTCAACCACTACTTAGTTCTTGGGCATGGGTCGAACCTTCTTGGGGGCACATCGCATTCGGGAGTTACTGCCCCGCGGGATCCTGCGGCACTGGGAGATGCAGGTCTCTCGGAGCAGCTCCCGGCCAGTGTCCTTGCGGAGGCAGTTCTGCTCCTGCAGGCGACAGGTGGCCAGCCGCTGGCAGGTGTTGGTCGAGGCTTGGCGGACGCACACCTCGCGGGGATTCCCAATGTCCCTGACACCGCAACGCCGGCAGCGACTGGGCAGAAGGATATTGCCATCGGTGGCCTCGATGGTAACTATGGCCAAGGTGGCAATTAGCAGGATAAGAATCAGTTTAGACATGTCTTTAAGATGCTTCCAATTGCTTCTTCTTGGGTGGAATGATATCTGTCTCTGACTTGGAGTCAGTATTTATAGGACTGCAAGTGCCTTTCTTCCGCCATATGTGACATTCTTTTGTCACCGACTGTTTTTTGTTTGCTTAAATAATAAGCAATGAGATTGTTTCACTTTTGAAGAATCATCTGCTTGCAGTTAATTAATTTAATACGTTTTATGATAATAATGAATGTATTATATATGCATATTTTCATATTTTATATGACAATTTTTTCGACGTATTCAAATTTAAAATTCTCATAACTCAGCCAAAAAAGCATTAATTTTAATTCAGAAAGCTGTCCTATGTTAGTTTTTGTTAGGTTAATAAATCTGCATACTCAGTTTAAAATTGAAAAAAATTAAAATTTTTGTTGTAAATTTTCACGATTTAATACCTGAAGAAATGCAGAAAAAATTTCGAAAATTTTTTTTTTTTGCTTGAGGTGACCAGAAAGATTCCCCTGTTGATGCTAATCAAGAATATATATGATTTATAGGGTCGGAAATGATTCCTTCACTTAGTTTTAAGCTTTTAACTACAAATATAGTACTCTGCAAGGGTCTAAAAATATTCTTTATAAATATATAAACTAATTAATTAAAAAATTCTTTAAATTGGAAAATTACATTATGATTTCCTTTCTTTAAGTCTATTGTTTTGTCTCATATATAAATATTTTGTGGAATTTTATACCACTTAAAGGGTTCGTCATTTTTCCACTTCCTCTGGTGCTCATTACCTTCTCTTTCTCTCACTCTTTTCTCCCCTTTCTCTCCCAAATTCCCTCCCAATTTCCCTCCCAATTTCTTTCCCCCTTCCCCACTCTCTCTTTCTCTGGGTCTGTGTGCGTTTCCGGCTGGCCGCTTTTCGCCAGTTGCTCTCGCCTGCAAATTATTTTATTGAACGCAATTGTTTTTGGCTTTGGCTCGTTTGTTATTCGGCGGCGGCGGCAAATTACTTTTTATGGCTGGCGGCGTGCCCCACCTTTTCCCTTGGTTTTCCCCCCTCCACCCGCTCCATTTTCCCGCCCCTTAGGCCACTGTTGAATGCCGAGTATTCCAGGATTCTGGATGCCGTTGCGGCGGCTGTTTTTCCAAATTTAATGGCTTAGAAAGCCATTTGCTTTTTATTTTCGTATATATATATATATATATATATATATATATATATATATTTATAGATTTTCGTTTTTTTTTTGTGTTGGTTGCCCAACTTTGTTTAACATTATTTCGAGCACCGTATGTTGCCGCTGGATATGGTGGAATGTCGATCCTCGTTCAGTTTTTGGAAGGACTAATTAGCTCGCGGGGAAAACCACGGGTGCGAAATGCAATTTATGCGGCGGTTTGTGCCTTGGGTAAGAGTTTTAGGTACTTCCCCGCCAGTTAGTGGGGTTTCCCACCGTGCAGGGAGGGAGCCCCAAAAATAGGCAACAAATATTTTCCAGGGGTTTTCAGCAGTTAATAAATTTATGGAAAATTGTATTTAATTAAGTGGAAACTAATACTATGAGGATTTTGATGCCCTAAGATGAAAATTTAGAAAAAAAAGATAGTATACCCTCTTTTGGTATTTTAATTAAATTCAAAAGCTTGTAATTATGTGAAGGAGTCATTTCCGACCATATAAATATATATTCTTGATCAGCATCAACAGACGAGTCGATTTATCAATGTTTTAAAGAAATTTTTTTTTTTAATTTTTGCCAAATTTTTTAAGGGGTTAAATCGTTAAAATTTTCAAAATTTAAAAAAAAAATTGAATTTTTAAACGTTTTTAATTGAGTACGCAGATTTATTAAACTAATAAAAACTAGCATAGGACAGCTTTCCGAATTAAAATTAATGCATTTTTCACTTAGTTATGATTATTTTAAAATTTAATTTGTAGTAAACATTTTCATAGAAAAATATCGATAAATATCGATTCAAAGAGTGAGAATATTTTAAGCTTAGCTATGGGTCATTTCCGATTTTGATCCTATAATTTAATTTCAAATTTGAAAAGCATATAAACTTCAGCTTCTCAAAGTTAGTTTCCTTTCTTATTTAATAAATAAATTTTTTAAGTTATATCTAGCACATTATTAATTTGTGTTTAAAGCTTTAAAGATGTTTTAGCTTTCTTAAATATTTTATTTTATGTTTTTCCCGTCATTTACTAAACCATATAATTAATGAAATGCCACCTACCTGAGTGAGTTTTCCATTGACAATGCTCAGTGACTCCAGGCTGGGTCGTACATTGCGCAGACTGTTATCCTTGAGGGCCTCCAGATGCGAATGGGAGAACTGCAGGTGACGGATGTGAACTCCTGGCTGGAAGACATCCTGCGAAAGGGATGTCACCGAGCGGTCAAAGTCATAAATGGACAGCGAATGTATGGGCGCCGAAATACGTTCCAGAGTTGAGCGCAGGGATATCGCTGTGGTTCCAGGACACTCCAGGAAGAGTCCTGCCAGATAGTGGGAAGGGAGTAGGAAAGGTTTATATTAATCCCTGGCAATTTGTGCATTTCAATTAGGCCTAGAGACCTGCTGCAGCAGCTCCTGTCCATTCTATTGTTCGTTTGCAATTTCACGCCCACAATAAATACCAATCAATATTCATTGGCCAGGACATCTTAGGAAAGTCCTAAGCACTAAGCACTAAATAAGTGCTTTTCCCCCCATAATCAAAGGGGGATTTTCAGTACATAAATACGGCTTAGTTTATATGAGATTTGTAGCTAATTAAGATGGGGAATGAATATTAGGGGAACCGAAATCGTATAGCAAGGATTATGGTTTTAAAGAGGGTTTAATATTTAGAGCTTAAAACTGTATCAAAATGTATTAGGATGTATCAAGAATTTGTTAAGTAATTATTAAGTTTTTCATTAATAATAATAATATCATATCATATATAATATATTTTTTGTCTAATTTTCTCTAGGAACTGAATAACGATATATTTAAAAATCAAAAAAGAACTCTATGACATTCTTAAAGGACCTTGCCTTCTCCTATTCGAATATCCCAAAGATATCCTTGTTATTGGATCTCTTCTCACCACACATCCTCGGTGGCATCTCATCTCATCTCGGTTCTCGGATGCTGATGCGTTTAATTAGCTCACTCGGCCGTTTCATTCGCACTTACCATCCTCGAACTTGTAGCAGGGACAGGCGGTGTTGTCGAAGCTGGGGCATTCGATGCCGGCCGCTCCTCCTCCACCTCCTCCTGCTCCTCCTCCACCACTGCCACCTCCTGCTCCTGGAGCTCCTCCTCCTCCTCCTCCTCCTCCTCCTCCTCCTGGAGCTCCTGCTGCTCCACCAGCTAGTGTACTCTGTCCACTGTTGCCCATCTCCGTGAAGAGGAGCTCACGTGCATTGCCTTTGGCACTGGAGATCCTGGCTGAAGGTGTCATCATTGAGGCTGCGGTGCCCGTTGGCAGCAGGACGAGGACCAGCAGGGCCACAACCAGGATGAGGACATGTTGCTGCTGTTGCCTCTGGTGTTGCCTCTGGTGTTTGTGTTTGTCCTTGCATTTGCTTCTGGCCTGTTCGTGCTGTGTCTCTTCATTTGTTTCCATTGCCGTTTGCTCTATTTGATGTCCTTGTTGGCGACGCTGATTATGCTCCTGCTGCTGCTCCTGCATATCCTGCTCCTTTAGATCCTTGTGAAGTTTGTGCTGCTTAGCTGTTAGCTGTTTTTCTGTCACGATTTTCGTCAGCTTTTCGCCTGATGTTTTTGCTGTTGTTATCCTTGTGGAGTTTGTGCATTTCGCTAATAAGTTTGCCTTGCACATTTTTCTTGTATATTTACTTCTATATATCCTGTGTTCGTGGGTAATCTATCGTCTGGTTTCGATTAGCTTGTTTTCAATGCCTGTTTTGGTTGCCATTTTAGCTGTAAAATAGTAAAGCAGCAAACAAGAAATTTTATTAATTACACTTGTATTTATTACTTAAAATTAGTCAAGAAATGATTTATTTCATTTACCAAATTAATGTTTAAAAAACCCCAGTCCTTCGAAAAGAAAACCCCTTTAACTTAATTACATAGCAAATGAATAGCTTTCTGCTTATGTGAATGACTCCGCCAGGACTAACCGCATTTTCATTTGTCTTTCAAGGGTCCTTTCTATGCTTTATGTATATATAATTTTTGTCCTTTTTTTGCCGCTTTTTTTCACTTAACATCCTTGGTAATATGAATTATTTTCCCTGCATGCCTTGGCAGCCGCTCTTGAATTTCGTTTCATTTTTATTATTATTTTCAATTTTAATGCTCGTTTCCCCGAATGGAAAGGAATTTGTGTCAAGTGCGTGAATTTTTGCTTTTGCTTTTTTGGTCGTGGAGGGGAAAATATTCGTGGTTGTTGTCATTCCTTTTAGTAGTGCCTAATTTAGTGCTCTTTTCCCGGGCAGTCACGTTGTCCTGCTTTATTATTATTATTTTATTACTTAGTCGTTGTTGCTCGTTTTCTAATTAATGCGTTTTTTTCCCCTTCTCTGCTCTTCGTTTTTCTTCTCGTATACAATTCCATTCGCCAGGCCATTAAACGCCATTAAAATTATGGCAGCTAATGCGCCGAATGACTCTTGTCGTCTTAACCGGAAATTTCATTTCATTTTGCCAGAAAAAAATAAATAAAAATAAAGGAAACGAGTAGAGAGACATAAGCCAAAAATGGCAGCCACAGCGGCGAAATATTAATTATTCGGAATTTCCGGCTGTTGGTCAGTTGGTCGGTGAAATAAGGGAAAATGATTTAGAAATGGCCAAAGGGATGGGTTTGAACAACCATTAAAATGGGTCGTTTTTTTTTTGGTAAGAATTATTAAAGTGGAGATCCAGAAAGGATTTGTCTTATTTTAAAGGGTATACAAATTACTTATTTCACATATATTATTAGTATTTTATAAAAGTAAAATGTTAAAGTGAATAAAAAACATGTAGGAAAACTAAGAAAAGAGATGAAAATGAATTATAGAATCGAAATATTTAAAATTTTTGAATCGATATTTATCGATATTTTTATATGACAACTTTTTTCGATAAATCAAAGTTTAAAAATTCATAGCTCAGCCAAAAAGGCATTAATTTTAATTCGGAAAGCTGTGTTATCTTAGTTTTCATTACTTTTACAAATTTGTATACTCAATTTAAAATTTACAACAATTCAAATTTTGATCTTTTTTTTTGCAATTTTTAACGATGTAACCCCTTAAAAAATTTGACAAATTTTTGAAAATTTATTTTTCTTCCGGAGATGGCTAGATCGACTCGGCTGTTGATGCTGATCAAGAATATATATGATTTATAGGGTCGGAAATGACTCCTTCACTTAGATTTATGATTCTGACTAAAAGAAGTACCCAGCAAGGTTATAATATAATAAAATAAAAATTAAATGGGTATAACATATATTTTCCCCTTTAATTAGTTAACCCAATAGATCCCAAAAACTATATATTTATAAGTAAAAAGAAATCGGTAAATCCCTCTCTATATCTATATGATCGATCCAACAAATTCGTACAATTCCCAAGTGAATGTTTTCCCTTAAGAGCTTCTTGAAGCTCACGGCTTAAACCTACACCTGTGACACCTGTGTATTTTTCCCTCATCATTCAACCCTTGGGTCATCGTTTTACTGTTTTTTTTTTTTTTTTTGGGCAATGGACGTATTTCTTTCTTGCTTTCCTTTATTTTTTTCATCCCCTTTGGCATTTTCAATTAGTGGTCATGACAACTGGGAGTTTTTACCGTCGCCTTTTTTACTTTTACTTTATTTTACTTAATTTTCCTTTCATTATTCGCAGCGTGCTGCGTGTTTTCATTACGCGCCTGCCATTTCCCAAGTTGAGTTGGGTTTTCCCCTCAAGTTTTTTTTCCGCAAAAGTAGTCCCTGCAGCGGTCAGCTGGTTAGCAAGTCACTCAGTCAGTCAGTCATTCAGTCATTCAGTCATTCAATCAGTCAGTCAGTTAGTCAATCGAGCAGCAAAACTGAACTGAACATTTGCGGATAATTAAAAGTTAATTGAGTAACAACAAAGGCTTATAATGCAATCGCATTCACAAATTGGCAAACGAAATTGAAATTATGGCTGAAATCAAATATGCAGTGGCAATTTATTTAACGCGGCCAAATCAATAAATCGCCATATGAATAAATAAATGCAAAATGTGGTCGACATTAAACAATTAACATTGAGTGAAGGCAAAGGAGAAAGTGTTACAAAAAAAAAAACAATATAGGAAAAGGACTTCTACAGGTTTGCATTATTATTAAATTACTTAATATTTAATTTACGATGTTTAAAATTCAAAATTAAAATGCTGCGAAAGCCGATGTATAAATTGATATTTTATTGTTGCCATAAAAGAGCAATAAATCGATATCCTCGATTTAGGGTTTAAGGTAATTGTAGTAAAGAATCTAGACTTAGTTTATAATATTTTTATTGGAAATAAATCTATAAGTTTTACAAATTCAATATCCTTAAAACTTAAATCACGTTTAAGAAATATTATACAGTAAAGTGTGCTTTTTATAAATACAATATTTTCAAATATATATTAGGAAGATAGGAAGCTAACTTCGCTACGCCGAATTTTGTATACCCTTACAGATTGAAATTCAATATATTTATACAGTATATTTCACAAAATTCTACATTTATATATAATGGCTATGTATCAAATTTGATGAAAATCTGTTGAAAATTAGAAAAGTTATAATATTATTTCTTAAAATTTTCCGATTGTTCCTATGACTGCTATATATATGTATATATATATAGTCCACCGATTCGCCATGCTCCAACTTATATATTAGTAAAATTATATAGAAGAATAAGAATAGTTCAGAAGAATAATTCCTGCAAATAGCTTGCTCTTAAAATCTCGCACATCTATGGATATAATTCCCAACTAGTTCTTACCTCCCCGGAACGAAGTGACTTCTACCAGCCAAGTCTCAGACATGTGTTGTGTTACAAAAGTTGCAAGTCATTGTTTATTAGTGTTCAAAGTTAGTAACTGATCAAACATACATACTTACTGGTCATAGATACTTACTAGTCATAGTTAATTACTGGTCATAGATACTTACTAATCATAGATACGTACTAGTCATAGGCACTTTCTGTTCCGAGTTACTTACTGGTTATAGATACTTATTGCTCATAGTTAATTACTGATCATAATTCTATAAATCGTCCGATTAGTCCGATGTCAGCTATATATATGAATATATATAGTCCGCCGATTTGGCATGCTCTGATTTATATACTATTATAATTATATAAATCAATAACTCCATAGTTTCATTCAAATAGCTTAAATTTGTTCCAAAACAAATCTCGCACATCTGAGCATATAATTCTCAACTCGTTCTAACATCCCCGGAACGAAGTGACTGCTGCTGGCCGAGTCTCAGAAATGTGTTGTGTTACAAAAGTTGCAAGTCATTGTTTACAAGCGTTCAAAGTTACTTACTGATCATACATACATACATACTGGTCAGAGAAACTTACTAATCAAAGTTACTTACTAATCATAGTTACTATCTGATCATAGATACTTAATGTCTGAATATTACTTAATGTTCATTGAAACCTACTGATTAAAGTTAGTTACTGATCATAGTTACTTATTGCTCATCGAGACTTAGTAATCATAGTTCCTTAATGATAATATTTACTTAATGATCATTGATACTTGCTGATCATAGTTATGTACTATGTCTATATTTAATTAACTTTTAACATAATTTTCATTTATCATATCGGGGATTTTTCCTGTCAATAAATGATATTCCCCATTTAAGTTTCTTCCAAATTAATTTCCCGACTTAAAAAACTTTCCAATAAGTTATACCATTCACCTTATCTATTAAATATCGAAATGTACAATCTGCACAGCAGCAAATTGAATCCTCTGATAGTGCAATTAACACTATCCTTTTGTTAATCGATCTGAAATCGAATCGCATTCGCCAGTCAATCCCCGGGGAAACATGATGAACTGCCACTTTATTTCGAAGTGAACGGGAATGAAGGCTAGAAGGGAAGGGAATGCTGAAAATTAATTGCAATTAAAAATCCAGCTCCCAAAGGGCCAAAAGAAGCAACAACAACAGAAACCTGGACTGCAAGATGATGACAAACAATGGAGCTGATGACGGTGACATCGCCAATGAATCCAGAGCTGGATGTGATGTGTGCAGGTCCAACTTGGACCGCGGAGGAGCAATGAGAAGGAGGAGCTAAAGCCCAGGAGAAACCTCAGTTTGGATGACATTAGCGTTGACAGCGTTCCCCGACAAAGAACACGCCGGCAATGGCAATGAGAATGGCCATGGCCAGGCCAACAGCCAACAACTTTGTTTATGGCAGTAAGCGTCTCATCACAACTTACAAAACTACACAGGAAAAAAATTAGAGAGCTATATTTGTTTTACAAGAGCTTTAAATGAAAGGGTTAGGAGAAGAAAGAACATTATCTAATGATAAAGAAATCGTCAAACACGAAAATATCATTAAGTTAGTGAATATTAGGTTTATTTATATTATATGTATATTTGTCTAATTAAACGATATTTCTCGGGTGCTCGAAATATAATATTTATAAATATATATATAAAAAGAGATTTTGCAACAATTAAAATATCAATAATATATCGATAAGACAGTAAACAAAGTTTAACTATATAAATAAAATATATTGAAATTATTATTATGTTGTGTTCAAGATTTAAATATTGAAAACAAAGTTAAAACAAATTAAGAGATTAAGAATATATAAAAAA